TTTTCTTGCACACGTTTCCAAACCCATTATCCATGTTTTGTGCTCGTTGGGCAAATTTAACCGAGACTAAATTTTTTTCATAAACAATATCGCGAAGGGTTCCACACGCCGTACACCGAAGCATATTTGATTGTTAAAAACATATCACTTCCGATTTACCTTATTATACATCAGACTCTAACTACTTAAGTTTTTTACGGCCTCTAACTTGAGTCTTTGATACATCAGAAAATCGTTTTTTTACGCTTATGGCCAATAATTGACTCATTCGATGTTTTTTTTTTTAATTTCCCGCACTTTCTTTGAAAGTGCGGACATTTACTCATTTCTGTACGCGTTCTCTTTCGCGAGAGTATATATCACCTCTGTAAGAAATGTAAATAGTGAATCCATATTGGTTCACTATTGACATTGTCAGCAGTACTACTTACCGACTGTTGATAACTCCGTGCATTTTCCTATAGACATTTAAGTGACATTGCCAATAATGAGTCGATAGAGTCAATAAGATCATTGATGTAAGTAAGTCATGTTCTTTGGATGTTCCACAAAAGGTTACACAAAATCACAAATATAATATTTTTACCACCAAAGTCGTCGAGCATTTCTGACAGTTTATATTTTGATAACAAATTGTTTGTTTTTTAACTTGTCTTTTATAATTTCCTTTGCTCATACTTTTATTATTGAAATTTTATACGGGTATATTCTGGAACACGCGGTGAGTTTTTTACACTTGCCCACATACATTTCTCAGAAGTTACGTCCTGTTCTGCTTCTCACGTGAATTGCAATTTTCGAACTTCTGCACAACAAAAATAAACGTCAACATGGTACTTTGCAGGAATCGTTTTACCATACAATATAAATTGTATTCGTTTTTAGCATTGTTTCTGTAATTTTAAGTAATTTCGTTAATTCAAACGATAGTTGCACTATAAAGTTTTTATTATTTTATTATTCACAACATATCTTTTTATAATTGGATTCATCTTAATTTTGTGATTTTAAACAATTTATACAAAATAATAGCATATTTATATGTTATCATGTGCATTTTTTATTTCAATAAAAATATTCTTTTATATAAAAAAAAACATGGAATTCAAGGTATTCCCTTCAAACGGGTGGAAAGCGTATTACAGAACTGTTCGACATGTGTTCGACACACTTCTACCGTTGAATTGAATGCCAGAACATGACCGATAACGACATGCTACTTTTTTATTGTTTTAATAAAAGTTTTGTACAAATACGAACCGCGAAAATAATAAAAGGATGTCAATTAAGAAAGTAGAAGAAAAGAAGCACAATAGACAATCACCTGTTAATGTGAACATTCTTCTTCTTATTAAAAATTGACAACGTCGTAGAAAAAGTGTTGACCAAGGCCTATAAATAAGGTCATCCAGGGAGACCATCTGAATATTGGCTACCTCTCAAGTTTGTTGTCAAAATCCATTATTGTGAATTGACTTCCATTATGAAAACGTAAATAAAGTTAACAATTTTGACTTGAGAAAAAACAGCTTACTTTCGCTAGCTGGGTGACCTTATTAATAGATCTTGGTGTTGACAATGTCCCCATACTTGTAGACAAAAGTGGTGACATGATCACCATCTTCCCCACGTTTCAATCAGGGACCATACTCTCACACACACACATTCAATTGAAGCAATGGAAAAATCATTGACACACACACATCGACAAACGTGTGAGAACGCAAATGTTTTGCTCTCTGTCCGATGCTGATAAATAATAGTCCTCGTATATTCACAATATATACATTTCTGTGGATCCATTGTTTTCCAAAGTCGATAAAACTGTGTTTGGTTCTTGATACATAATTAATGTTGTCCCAATAGTCTGTTATATTATATTGCATACTTTTAGGCGCATTTTACTTGTCAAACATCTTTGTAGTAACACTTTAGTAATAAAGATTTCCATCTCGAAATCTTCAGTGATATTATAAAATAATTTTAATCAATGAGATTCATTCCAAGAAAAAAGTCTAGAATATTTTTATTTCTCGTTATTTTTTTAAGTTTTTCCACTTATAAAAATAATTAAAGTAATGAATGTTGTCTACCTTTTGTTATATATCGACTTTATATCGTTTTTGATTGCCATTAAGTTCTGCAAACTAATTTCATTCCATAAATGTATGTTTTACATTTAGTAAGTTCATATTATTTGAGAGTTTCCCTTGAAGTTTAAGTCTTCATGCATCAAAGTTTGTGTCAACATTTAAAAAATTAATCCATAAATACATAACTCCTAAGACAAAGTGGAACTGTTTAAATAAACTTTAAATCTCTGTAAAGATGAAATTTTCTTGGTATTACGGCTGCTAAGTGATAATCCCTTAAACAAAGAAATGCTTTAAGGGGACCCCTCCATTCTCGGGGTCAAAATTTTTTTTGATTTAATTCGAATCTACACTAATTCAAAAATGTCCCTACAAAATTTCAAGTGAAAATCTCAATAACACTTGAAAATATAGCCGATTTATTGTGTCAGCATCAAGAGACGGCTAAAGGGCTTCTCAAACTTTAAACGCGTTTTTCTCTTTTGCGAATGGCGGGCACAATAACTCAAAAACTAATAACCCAATCGATTCCAAATTTTTACACGTTTCTCTGTCAGTGTATAGCTAGAATAAAGTCAATCGGTGAAGATCTTCCTTATTTGTATACCCTTCACCACACTGTGGTACAGGGTATTATGTCTTTGTGCATATGTTTGTAACAGGCAAAAGGAAACGAGATAGACACATGGTTCCTTTTGAGAATATGCATAAAATCACTTTCTAAGTCGATTTATGCATGTCCGTCCGTCTGTCTGTCTGTCCATGTTAAATTGTAAACAAAGTACAGGTCGCATTTATGCTCCGAAGTGGATGAAATTTGACACAGCTCATTTGTTTGGCCCAAGGACGAACCCTACTGAAATTGGGAAAAAAACGGTTCAGATTTAGATATAGCTCCCATATATATATCTAACCGATTTGATGTAAACGGTCACTATATATCCTTCGATTTGCACGAAATTTAGTACAGCCTAATCATTTAGGTCTAGAATGATGTCTGCCAAGTTTCGTGAAAATCGGTCCAGATTTAGATATAGCTCCCATATATAGTTTCGTCCGATTTCATGTAAATGGTGCCCCAAAGTCCCTATATATCTTTCGATTTGCACGAAATTTGGCATAACGTATTGACTTAAGCCTAGAGTGATGTCTGCCAAGTTTCGAAAAAATCGGTCCAGATTTAGATATAGCTCCCATATATAGTTTCGTCCGATTTCATGTAAATGGTGCCCCAAAGTCCCTATATATCTTTCGATTTGCACGAAATTTGGCATAACGTACTGAATTGAGCCTAGAATGATGTCTGTAAAGTTTCGTGAAAATCGGTCAAGATTTAGATATAGGTCCCATATATAGTTTCGTCCGATTTCATGTAAATGGTGCACCAAAGTTCCTATATATCCTTCGATTGAGCCTAGAGTGATGTCTGCCAAGTTTCGAGAAAATTGGTCCAGATTTAGATATAGCTCCCTTTTATTATAGATTGATTTTAAGTAATTGACGAACCAAGGAACCAATAGGCTGATAGGACCAAAACGATCAAAAATTAGTATAACCTAACCTGTGACAAGTTTGCTTGAAATCGCTTAATATTGGGATAGAGCTTCCATATATATTTTCGCCCGATTTCAAGTAAATTGGGCATCAAACTCCTCATGTAGTCAGATTGACATCAAATTTTGCACAATGTACAAAACTGAGCATAGAATTACGTAGTTGCGTTTTCTAGAAGTACAGACATAGCCAAACGGATGACCTATTTATATTTGTTTGAAGTCGATATACCGACCTTTGTCCCATTGTAACAAACGAATGACATGTTTATGGATAGACCTAGGTAGATTCACATTTAGATAAACATCATATATTTTATTTGATCCACTTTCATGTTAATAGTCCTGTTTAATATACCCATAGTGGTGAAGGGTATCATATAGTCGGCCCCGTCCGACTTTACTACTTTCCTTACTGGTTTAACTTGGTTTTTGGTCAAAAATCGGCGATTTTCCAAAAATATTTTTTCAAAGGTCCGCCATTTTGTTAATTTTAGAGCGAGGTCAATAATCCTAATTCATACGAGATCCAGACATGTACTCTTTCTAACACCGTTGTAATTTTCGGATTCCGATGTTCCAGTGAGGAGTTATCATGCCGCCATCAAAAATAAGGACTTTTCTTTAATTACAAAAAACAACAACAAGACAACAACAACAAAATTTTTGTAAATTATTTTTCTTCCTTTTTAAAACTTCAAATATATATGTGCAAAGTTACAAACCTTAATAAGCAGTGGTATTGATTTACCAGCCCATTGAAAATCTTGAAAAATTAAAATAGAGAATGGGAGGGGTTTCCTTAAAGGATTACTTTAGTTTTTGGTAAAAATTCTTTGAAGTATTCCTAGAAAATAGACAATAAAAAACAATTTGTTTATTGTTGTTGTTAAGTAAATGTCTTTTATTTGAATTGTTGTTGAATTCTTTTGATATTTTTTACCTATAAAATAACCAATTAACTTAAAATACATATGTATGTTTGTATGTAATTCTATAGCCAAGTGCTGTGTTAGATAAATGCGTCTAAATGAAGTTTTTAATGAAAATTAGTATTTTTGTTTTAATGCAATACGAGGAATAAGAGTTTTTTGTTGTTCATTTGAATACCTTTCACTTTTCCAATAAAATAAACATTCCATTTTCCCTCACATATACCAGTATGGTGGACCCATAGTAAGTAGTAATAACAATAAGCAGTAAATTATAATATCTATAATAATAAAAAAAAACTATTCATTAAGGTTAAACTAAACTAAAAGAGATAAGTAGTTGTTTCAATACAATCTAAGGGGTTGGGGGAGAGATAGACAGGCAAGCATTATATTAGCTTAATAAGTAGCACTGCTAAGTATATGAGGAGATCTACTCCACTGAACGATAGCCATTGCGTTGAGATAGAACTGAATCTGGATTTTTTAATTCCATGGCTAGCTTATAGCCAAGTTCGGGGCGGCGATCTCGGCCCTCAGCCATTGCCTTAACCTAGAAATAGGGAATAAATTTATCGTTATATGTTTCTTGGGGATTTTATGAGCTTTACCCTTACCTCAGTTGAGTGAACGATGACACCATGATTGCTTATCACCTTTTCCTTGGTGTGTTCAATGTCATGGAAATCTGTCCCACGGCAGCAGTCATCAATCAAAATGGTTCTGTAACCCACAGAAAGAGCATCGACAGCAGTGGCACCTAGCAAGAACATAAGTACTTCTTTGAATATATGATGGCAGAGGATGTGGTATGTTTCGAACTTACCCACACAAACATCATAGGCCAAACCACATACATAAATATCCGTTGCTCCCTTCATTTTCAGCTGGGCATTCAATGTGGTATCAGAGAGTTTCTTATTGTCCCAAAACACCGAATATGAATCAACCTCCGGATTTGTACCCTTATAGATTTTAATGCCATGTTCAACAACCTTCAAGTCTTTGTGCAATTCAGCACCCCACGAATCCTGAACACAGTGACGCGGCCACAAACGCTGCTTCATTGGTGGTGGACCAGCAAATATGACGGTATCAAAGACTTGGGCAGAATCTGCATCAATCTGTATTAGGAGTAAATAATTTAGATATAATTTTCTAATAATCCCTAATCATACTTACGGGAGAGTTTTCGTCTAGTGGCCGCATTTTAACATTATCTATAAATGAAACGTGATCACTGGGATGCCAATCCAAGGAATAGAATACAGCATCAAAATCCACGGTATCCAAGAGATTGTTGGTGGGTTCCAGGATCTGAAAGAATACAATTTTGAAAAAAATGATTAATATTGTTAAGATGTCTGTCCGAAAAAATAACTTAAAAATCTTCACATGTTCGGCAAAAATATTAAAAAATGAAATAAATTTAGTAGTCTCATCCTAAAAGTATGCAACATATGTTTGAATTTTTTACTCAACACTAGGGAGGTGACATCTGCGCGACAATTCTTCTCGACAACATAAATTTTCCTGCTACAGGGATTATCCACCCAACAAATCTGTATCTTAAAGTTTCCTATTCGCATTTCATCAACAAAAACCATCATCACTTCAAAAAAAAAAAAAAAAAAAAAACAACAACGACGAATGCAATTCACACATATCCAACACGTATCCACAATGTCCTGACTGTGCATGAGGGAAAACATATATATGCGTGAATGTATGTATGAATGAAGTCTCCTGTATGAGGAAAAAAGTGCTCTCTTGAAAACATCTTCGGAAATGTGAAATATGAACTTTGACAAATTTTTATTAAAATATCCATCCCAAAACGAGAAAAAAACCTTTATGAGAGTGTATGTGTGTGGTCGCTGTAACTGTCTGACTGTTGTTTTGTGTCTGAATATGTGCAGTCGTTGTCGTTGGAATATCCAACAACAACACATTCTATAATACAAACGGATGTGTTGTAAGTAAAGCATATCCGTTTCCGTATAATACAAACTCACAGTAAAAGAAACGACAGCCAGAACGATGACAGCATATCAAGTAACGAATGATACAAAAAAAAAACATGAATGAACATGCAATCCAAACAAAAATTTCCGAAAAGTGGCACAATGTTGTTTGTCTGTGTCTTTAAGTAATGAAAAGAAGTATTAATGCCAAGAATTGGAGTGATAGGGGATGGATGATGTACCGGAAAAACATAGTTGGTATTTACAGAAGTTCTATGCGGGATAAGGTCGCCCCATTAACTCTCAAACTCTACAAGCGAACAGAGCAAGAGAGTTGCACTGGCTCTCTACTATCTGCGTCTATATGACAAAAATGTCCCAGATATCTTCAGAGATCTGCATACTAAAATGAAAGGTGTTAAAATGAGAATCAAAATGGTGAACGCAATAGACACCCAAAGATGTTAGACTTTTCCAGATGACCTTTGATCAAATATGTAGTTCAGTTTTAGCCTTTTTTGACTTTGTCTAAACATTCGATTTTGTCAAACTAATTTTTGTATGTTAATTGTTATCAATATATAAAATAGAGTTCTTGAATGTTTAATTTTTGAACAATATGAAATAATGAAAAAAAGAAATATAAATCTTGTCCCCACTTTTCCTGTTCTCAAATCGCAAACTTTTTGAAGAATGAATTTCAAATCAAAGGCCTAAGTGAATTAAATCATATTTTTTTACAAGGGCCTTACCCTTGTAGTCTAAAAATAGTTTTTTCTGGGTCCTTTGAAGCGTGGAGTTTTCCACAATTATATCTTACGAACTTATATTTTCGTATGATATAATTCTGGAAAATTCTATTTATTTACCTTTTTAAAACCCATCCTTATGGCTGTTCTCCCATATTCAAAAGACACGTTTGTCGATCAGCAGAATCACGTCATGGCGTCAAGAATAAACAGGGACTTTATTGAAGCGTCAAATTTTAATTAAAGTTTTTTTTAATGTCTGTAAAAGGAGTGGGTTTTTAAAGCATTTTTTTCAAGGAACGTAGAAGTTTGATTTCTAAAAAATAGTCGGAAACTATATGGAGCAAAGGAACTATATAGCTTATTGCAGCCCCCAGAGTTTGTAACGCCGCGAAATATTGGTCCTAGACCCACCTTTAAGTATACAGATCGTCATATCTCGATTAGTTGAGTCGATCTAGACATGTGTGTCCGTCCGTCTGTCCATTATAAATTGTAAACTCGATGCAGGTCACAGTTATGGACCAATCTTCACGAAATTTTGCATGTAGGATGGGTTCTAGCCAATGATGACCCATATTTTTGTAAATATCGGTTAATATTTGGGGGGTAAAGTGGACTAAATACTTAATTTTTTCGGGTTTTCTGGTCGATCCAGAGGCCGCAGATATGGACACCGAAATTTGACACGGGGAAGGGGATTGGGTCAAAGAATAAGCATGCCTGTTTTGATAAAGAATCCAAATCTTAATTATGTCAAAATTATAAGCGGAACAACACAACCCAAGTTGAAGGGAATATGGACTACACCTTTTTCAGATGTTATTCAAAACATTTCAAGAATTTCATTTGTAATTCGAAAACTCAATTTGCAATTCATAACATTTCACTTGTAATTCGAGTATTTAATTTGTAATTCACAACATTTCATTTGTAATTTTAAATTTTTCGTATGAAATTCAAAAAATTACATTTGAAGTTTTAAAAAGTTTCATTCGTAATTCGAATATTTCAATTTGAATTTCGTAGAGTTTCACTTGAAATTCAAAGAATCCAATTTGAAATTCACAACATTTCACTTGTAATTCAGAAAATTTCAGTTGTAATTCATAACAATTCATTTCAAATTCATACATATTCCTTTTGTGTTACCAATAATATTTTTCGAATTTAAAATAAAATGTTATGAAAAACAAATGGAATGTTTTGTATTTCAAATCAAATGTTAAGAATTTCAAATGGAATTATTTAAATTTCAAATGGAATTTTATTAATTTCAAGTGGAATTTTATGAATTTCAAACGCAAATACTTGGAATTTCAAATGGAAGTTTATGAATTTCAAATGGAATTCTATGAATTTCGAAAGGTATTCTAGGAATTACAAATGAAATTCTCGAATTACAGCTGATATGTTGTGAATTGCAAATTATATGTTGTGAATTACAAATGGAATTCTCGAATTACATTTGATATATCTTGAATAACATGTGAAAAAGGTGTATACTGCTCCGCTCACTGGTTTAAAACCCTACAAAACTATTTTATCAGGGTATTATATCTTTGTGCGGTCCCAAGAGTTTTTAACACCGCGTAATATTATTCCTAGACCCACCTATAGTATACCAGTCATATAACGACTAACTGAGTCGATCACTTCGTCCGACCATGCGTCTGTCCATTATAACTTATAAGCACGATACTTTGCATGTCGGACCAAAAAGTTTATTTTTGTTTGTTTTTCTGATCGCTCTATAGACCACAATTATGACCCAAACATTACGAAATTTTACATGTTGAAAGGCATTTGACTAAAGAACAACCATGACAGTTTTCTCTTTTTTTCATAATTGATCTATATCTAGCAAGTCAAATTAAACCAGAATTTGGGTGAATAAACCACATTTGAATATTATGGGGTTAGTGTTCTCTCCGAGCAAAATTAATTAGGAAAAGATGCCAGATTAAGACAGAAGAACTGTTGGCCAAACGCGTATGCCGAGTCATACGTGTTTGCCACAGGAATCTCCTATAAGTATTAATTAGGATTACAGTCTGTAGTTTTATTTTTGTCAGAAAACCAAGTTAAAGGGCAGCCCCCATACTATGGAAACTCCCAATACGGAGATATTTGACACGCTTTTCAATCAAATTGGTATTATTGGTTCTTATAACGGTATCACCATATCTCCTAAAACTAAACTAAAACTAAAAATTATTATTATTTACCTAAGTCGGTATTTTAAGAATTTTGGACACGTATTTCAATCGAATTTGGCAGTATTCTAATTGGCTGGCAAATATGACTACCAAAAATATCAATATTGATCTCCGTTTTAATATAGCCTCATATAACGGTAGAATTTAGAGAATTTCAATCATCATTTTCTCACCTATTTTTCGGTATGTTGAAGGTCCTATCTGTCATAGTTTTCCTTATTTTTGGTTATTTCAATATAGCCTCATAGAGTGTTAGCCTGATATCATATGTCAAACTCAAAAGTTTTTTAATTTATTTTTGTAGAGGAAATATAATGGTGATTACCTATATTCTCAACAAAAAACCATAGGAAAAACTGGGACGTTTTCCATTGTATTATATTCCTTAAAAAAGAAGAAAATCCTTTTTCGACTTTTTCTTAATAAAAAGGAAGACAATATGGTGTATAACATTACGACATTCTTACTTTTTTCTTAGTTATATTAACACAGGAAAAAAAAATAAAAAACGACAGAGACAATACTGAAAAAAGAGAGTTGATATCAACTTACCTCGTGCCCTTTTTGCTGTGCACTGCAATTACTTATATCCAAGGAACCACTTATAAAGTCATTTTGTACATCAACAATCAAAAATGCGTTAACAGGACGAACGATCTGCAAAAATACGAAGAAAAAAAGAAACGAAACGGAACAAAATTACTTCACATTGTATTCGAGAGTTTTGGGATTATTTTACTGCTTATAACTGGCAAACTGACTAAGGGACAGACTCTGCCTGGTTTGGCTGGCTATCCATCATAAACTTTCTGATATCATTTCGTACATCAGCAACGTTTAACTACAACAATAAAACTCCAAGAAAACTTGGCAACAAAAATAGAAAGAAAAGGAAATAACTTATAACGGCTATAACAATGAATGAAGTCAGGTTGGAGAAGGTAACCTGAACGCCACCCACCTTCCAGAAACTTGCAAAACTACCATATACCGTTGACATATAGATATCCAAATATCTGAGTGATGACGATATCATGGCAGTCATTCAAACTTCAAAACTTGGCAGCAGTAGCATCAATCTCATCACAATCATCATCATCTTCATCGTCATTGTTATTCATCTCCTGTTCATCTTTAGCGTCATTCTACGGGTGCGGGATGACATTAAACATTTTACACAGGTCTGCGTTCCCATTCAATTCACTCCAGATGATGACTTTATATTTTGAATGTTATTGTTGTTGTAAAAAAACTCTCTCCCACACACACACACTAGCATACACACAAGATAAGTTGTCACGTCGTAAAGTAAGTCTGAAGAAAGACGATATATAAGTTTAACAGAAGCCGGATGTAAATTCATTGTTATTGTCATTTGGTCTGGTCTGTTCTTGGTGGATATATTGTTGTTATTCTTCTTGTTCTTGTTTTTTCGGTTGACATCACTGTCATTTAGCTAGTGAATGTAAACTGTTATGTCTTCATGTCACTTGCCGGATATGAGCTTTAAGTACTTCAACGGAACACAAAGCTCGTGAACGTGGATTGTGTTCGTCCTTTTTTGTCACAATCGACATTAATACAAAAGTAATTGCTGAATTATGGAGGATAATTAAGTGATACTTAAAATTTTATCTATTCGGGGAAATATGTTACAGAAATTAAAAACAGATATGAAAAACAATATATTTAAGCCCTACACAAATATATTGAGCAGCCCCAAAAATTTGTAACGCCGCAAAATATTGGCTCTAGACCCATTTCGAATTATAGCGAACGTCAAATCTCGACTAGACATGTGTGTCCATATGTCCATTATAATTTGTAAACACGATACGGGCCTCAGTTATAGACCAATGTCTGTTTTTCTGGTCACTCTAGAGGCAAAATTTTATGACCCAAACATCACGAAATTTTACACAAAGAAAGTGCTCTAACCATGAAATATGCATGACTGTCTTAATGAAGATCGGTCAATATATAGCGGCATAAATATACCCGAACTTTTGTGTGAAAAATGACAAAAATTGAATTCTGTGGCGTATATTTTTACTCCTGAAGGACATATACCGTCGATGTCAGTATATCCAAGATGAGAGGTTTACCTTTAAATTGATACCAATTATATTTATGTAAGTACTCAGATGTGGAATATATACGTATGATATTGTTTACTAATACCATTACCACACTAGATGACGAAAACGGCGAGCTGATGGATTCGAAATTGTACATGGAGGTCCGACGATGTCTATAATTTGCGGGTCAAATGGACCAGGACTTTTGTGTGTAAAATAAGAAATGTGAAAACATGATACCGAAAAGATATGCCAGGGTATAAAGAGGAGCTTTTAACCTCTAATCGGTCATGAAGTTGCAAATATCGCGCAATATTGACCAGGCTTGGAATATAGATGGGTGGAACGTTTGAGTTCAGTGGTTGTTGTGTAGGGTATCACTCCCCACTGACCTCCCAGTTTATTAGTCCATGATCTAAAGATTTGAATTAAACAAGTAATAACGTGGTTTAGTTCGACCCGGCTGAACTTTTTTTACCCTACACCATGTGGTGTATGTTCGAAATTTCTTCAAAAATCGTGACATTTATATGGAGATAATATAAATTGTCTGCTCGTAGGTTGTTTATACTCTTAGAAAATAAAATACGAAAATAAAATAAATTCCAAGCACCAAAATTAGAAAACTAGACTAAGAACTTTAACATAGCAAAAATTATGCGGGACTTATGCATGTATTTACAAACATTGACCAATATTGAAATTTTCAGCGGAGAAGTATTTTCTTTACCAAAAACCTGAAAAAGTCTGCACAGACTTATGGAAACGGGACCGTTATATGGTGTAAATGTCAAAACATGAACCTTTATTGATAATGTTCTCTATTGATGTATGTCGGCCTCAAAAAACCCCGAATTGTCAAAATGCCGCTAAAGCTATTAAAACCGAAAATTTGGCGGCGGTGATGTATGTCGGCCTCAAAAAAACCCGAATAGCCAAAATGCCGCTAAAGCTATTAAAACCGAAAATTTGGCAGTATCTTTTTATGGAACTATAATAATCACTTTCTGAGCTCTTTTTTCTGCACAGTCTCCAAAACCTCGAAATGCCAAATTGATGCCTTTTCGGTTGATAATGAGGTTAAAGTACCGAAAACGGGAAGGGGCCTCTATATGGGACTATGCCAAACCATGGACCTGTCTTAATAGCAATACAAAATACCAAATTATAGCCAAATCATTTGAAAGTCGTGTCCAAAATTCTCAAAATACCAACTTACTTACTTAGCTGGCTTATGACAGAACGGTTGTTCCATATGCCGAGCTTAAAAAAGATTTCCAAGCGCGTCGGCCTTGTGCGCATCTCATACAATTTGAAAGACCATTTTCCGAGATGTTGTCTTCTACTTGATCTTTCCATCGGATTCGTGGCCTTCCTCTTCTGCGTGAATCATCACTTGGCTCGCTTTTATATGCCTTTTGAGCTGGGACATCTTCATCCATTTTCACAACATGACCTAACCAACGTAGTTGCTGCAGCTTGATACGTCTGACTATGTTGATGTCCAAGAATTTATGGTATAGCTCATGGTTCATTTAACGGAGGTATTCACCGTCGACGCAGATTGGTCATTGATCTTCCGGAGAATTATTCTATCAAACACTCCAAGAGTTGCCTCATCTGCTTGCGCAAGTACCCATGCTTCAGATCCATACAACAGCATGGGAAATATAGGGGTCTTGTAGAGTGTGAGTTTGGTCTGGCGAGTGGTGGCATTGCTTTTGAGTTGCTTACTCAGACCAACAATATTCTCCTCCGGCCAACAATACTCTCCTCTGGATTTCAAAGCTGATGTTATTAGTTTTGTTTATGGCGGTACCGAGGTATATAAAATCGTTCACAACCTGCAAGCTGTAGTTTTCATGTTCCACAGTTGGTCCGAGTCTACTGGACGTTTTGCGCGTTGATACCATCATCTTGGTCTTTTCGACATTTACTGCCAGTCCCACTTTGGCAGACTCCTTCTCGATTCGTTCAAAGGTGGCTCGCAATATTCGTCCCATTATGTCGATGTTGTCGGCGTAGGCGAGTAAAATATGCTGTTTGGTGTACAGAGTGTCATTTTTGTTCAAATGTGCATCTCGTATGACCTTTTCCAGCAGAATGTTAAACAGGTCACACGACAAATTGTCACCTTGTGCGAATCCTCGTTCCGTATTGAAGGGCTCCGAGAGGTCCTTTCCGACTTTAACAGCTGACCTTGTGTCACTTAAAGTTATCCTCCATAGCCATATTTGCAGAAATGCCAAACGCAGAAACGGCTTTAAACACCTCTGAACGGATAGGGCTGTCGAATGCGGCTTAATAGTCGACGAATAGGTGGAATTTGGCGATGTGTTTTTCGTGGGTCTTTTCAAGGATCTGGCGCAGAGTGAAAATCTGGTCAATGGTGGATTTGGTTTGGTCCCATAATGTCATTAACCATTGGCTTCAGTCGTTCACACAGCATGTTGGATAGCACTTTATATGCGATGGTAAGGAGACTCAATCCTCTATAGTTGGCACATATCGTATTGGATACATTTTGCACCAAATTGTCTATTATCAAAAATTATTTATATTCATTCACTGTTATAACGGGTTCTCATAATAGAACATTTCTCTACCCAATATTACCAATATTTGGTATTATACCTCTACCCAATTTTTTATATTTTGAGGTTTTAGGATTATTTTCCATCAAACGTGGCTGCAATTTAGTATCTTCTTAGGAAAATAATTATGAAAGATGTATAGGTTTCAAGTCCGTGCCGTAATGAATTTGTAGAGAAATGCCTTTATATTTCTCAATTAATAAGAAATATTACAATGCAAATTAGTGTAAATAAGTAAACAAATTTACTTTGAGTTTTAAAAAGCATTTTATTATTAACTTCAACGAATTTTTAAATATCCACTTTCCATATTCAAGTTAAAAGCAAAAACCACAATACCCAAAATCATTTCCTCGTATACGTACACACGTTTGACCCCAAGAATATCAACAACTCAATTTGTCCCAAAACACTCACCACGGTGCTACTGCTACGTGTCTGCCATAACTACTTCTCAATTGGTGTTTTGGGAAGACAAACTGGTTGGTGTTGTCCGAAAAAAAAACTGGAAAACATTAAGGATAAATGGCTAACCGAATAATATGCAATAGCAAACACCTCGTTTTGAGGTGTTTTCTTTCCTGCAAAGCAAAAGGAACCTCGCATGACTTGCAAATGAAATGGAAAAAAGTTCAAAAACAACCATTGACCGAGGCACCGAGACCACAAGACGAACACACTTTTACTTTACCTAACTTTTATAAATAATGTTCCATTTTAAAATTCTATTTGGACATGACCACACAAGAAGAAACTAACCCAAGCAAGTTTCCTTTTTCTTTCCTCATTTAGATTTCCTGTTCTCCGCACATGTCTTTCCTTTACCGTGTTCTTCTTCTTGGTTGCTATATCTGAGAGTCCTGTGAGTTTAAAGAATTATTTTTCATTCCATTGTGTGGCTACATAAATTATAACCTTTGCATGGGAAAGGAACTCAACTCAACTTTGAATGTTTCAATTTGAAAAACAATTTAAAAAGTGTTTG